TTTGTAACCTATAAAAGAGTGCTGCATTTGGCTAGTAAATGAGGCACCGAAAACGAGCTTGTTTGTTAAATTGACTTCTCGATGCAATCCACGGGTATTTTCCAGTATTCCAGAATAAATAATTCTCCGTTCTCCTCAATGTACAAGGAAACATTAGATAGCAAGCGAGGGAGAGAGGAATTTCACTATTTTATATTCCGTTTCATTACGCACAGAAAAGTTTAGATTTTAAATGGGCGGGGAAATATCATTGTTTTTGTTTAAGACTGAATGTTACCGTGGTTTCATTAAGAATCGGTTTTATTCCCCGTAACTTCGCGAAGGTTCCATTACTGTTGTTTATTACAAGAATAATGAATTTTCGGTAATGGTGACCAATTCAATTATTTTAGCACTGTGGTTTTTTGAATCCAACGAATTTACCTTAAATCACAGTTGGTAGGATACGAACCTTTTTCTCAGTGGGTCTACCCACTTTAAGAACTTTCGATTGAGTGTTCTGCACCCGTGTGTCGCAACAGTAACTCCGGAGCATCTAACTCGTCACCGTGGTGAAGTTCGATATGTGGTTTATTAACAAAAGCAGTAACTGGGTGGGTGCGAATAAGGATGAGACACGTGAGGGTTCACGCCGGACAAGGCCAACCATTTACGGTCCTTGTTACGTGGTCACGGAAAGATTCATCCACAGTTATGGCAGTGAGTTCACACCGCGGCCGAGGAGGTTAAAATACTTTGTCTGATCACTTTTGGGAAGAAAGTGATCAGACCAATCCCTCGAATCTGTCTAAATTCCGTTAATGAACATCATTTGATAGATTTGAAGCACCGGATAGATCACCTTTAAGGCATTCTCGTTGTGTTGAATCCCGTATCTTCCGGATGCTCCACAACGGCTCTGGAGGTGGTTTCCCTCTCAATGATAGCCAACCAAGCTGTATTTTGTTCTTGTGAAAACTGCCAAATGATTTTATCTGTGTATCTTGCCGAACATGAAGAACGAGATATGCAATCATAGAGGAGGTAGGGACAGCTTGAAATTCATAGAAATAACGGATCGTCTATTAAGGTAGGGGCTTAAACTTGCTGTCGGACAGATACGTTTGACTGGCCTTTCCAGATTTTATAGTTTCCTCTGAAAGGGAGCCACTTATATGAATCCTTCTTGTTCACTCTTATCATTAGAGGTCCTTTGAATGTCTCGGATATTTTTTACTATATGAAACTTTCTAGGTAACTCTGTTCCCGTCCATTCAACACCTATTTTTGTTCTTCAATTCCACACTACTTACTAACTTTATCTGCCAACCAATTAACACAAACAAATCCAAAACATTATGCAAACTTGTTGCGCAATAACTGTCTAGAAGGAATCTGTCGTTCTAACTGAGTTTTCACTATCCCTGCGCTCATTCGTTCCGTACACTTACCCGAGTATTCAAGACTAATGCTGGTTGAACGGTCCATTGCGGCACTTGTATCTTCTCGTACAACCAACTCGGAAACTTCGCCTCAACTCGTTCTAACCAGTAGACTTGTTGTGCGATGAGTTGATGTGTGGCAGATCGTTGTATGTCGTCAATATCCCCCACCGCAAGACCAATCTGTGACAAACAAATAGGGTGAAAGAGTTGTTAGAGTGAGCGCAATTGCTACCAAGTGTTGTAAGGTGCTACTCACAATTGTGACTAGCTTGCGCGCATCAAGATGCGGTTGTTGGATTCCTACCATATCCGTGAGTGGATTAAATGGTTTGTTGTTGCAATCATAGAAACCACAAACAGATTATCAGGCTTGTAATGAAGAGACGGTCACGAAAATACCAACAAATTGTTGAAAATTAGATATTCCGATTTGTGTAATTTTATTCCCCCCCGCCCGCCAGATGTTCCTCAACTAAATAGTTCTCTTCAAATCGGTAGCAGATTGTGAAATTATAACAATAGTTCTGAAATCCCCTGTCACAGTTGTTGCATAATCGTATCCGAGATCAAAATGAATGACTTGGACGTGAGTTAAATCCACCTGGAAATGATGATCAAGTGGAGGGAATGTGAGAACCCGGTTAACTGGGAGAGTAAATTAACAACGGTTCAGAGAAAGCGACAGATTGGATATTGCCCCGAAATAGTTATGAAACTCAATACAATTGAAGGCATTATTCATTTCCGCATTCCTGTTCCTCCTATAAACCTGAATTTTTGACTTTTGAAAACAGTAGCCCATTAGTTTCCAGTAAAATCTAATAACATAATTTTCAAGAGGGAGAAGTATCCAGAGGACTTCGGGTTAAACTGTAAATAACGTGTCATTTTGCTATCTGTGTGGACACTGTTCCGGGCACACAGGATTATTCGCACGTGTCATTTAAATGTCTTTCGTGATGTCAAAGGCAAAGTTTTACTAGAGTAAATACTTGCAAGCGATTGTTTCTTTTGTTCCATAAGGGTTTCCGCAAAACTGGCTCGCTTTACCGAACACAGAGGGATGAGGAATATCAAACATTTCGTTTCGTTTATTTGTAAGCTTTTCGAAATTTAAGACATGGCAATGTTTCATCCAGATTGCGCTTAAAAAGAATATATTGTGGGCACTAAAACAACGTGAGTTGGTAGGGAATTCCAAATACTAAAACTCTGGAGGCAAATGAATGACACCGGAATTCCAATCAACAGTTTCGGAGCACTAATTTAAAGGACCCCTTCCCTCGGAGTTGAGTGTTGGACGATAAGGTGAACAGCGAACATCATGGATGCTCGGGGTTCTGCATTACTTGTGATATACCAAAAACAAGTCTCATCATTTCGGTTGTACTGGGTGGAGTAAAGCCTGAATAATTCCATTCTTTCCATTTAGGTCTTGGAATGCATTCCCTGGACGATTTTGGTGACCGTTCTTTGTGGAGGCCCCGAAATCTTACAGTCGCGTTGCAGTTATGGATTTGTGGTGATTCGGGCCTACAAAATGACGCATACCCTGGGGCGACGCGTTACAGTTTTAGGACTATTGTGATCGATCAAACCTCACGGGTAACATCAGCAAAGCGCGTGCGTGTCACTGCTTCTGGACTACATACCATAGGTAGATCGTACCAGCCAATCAGAAACCGTGCGGCCCAGACAGAATCAGAACGACACCAGAAATATTGGAACACGAATGACAGAAGCCCATGAAGACCAATGATCTTGTTTTGTACATATAATATAATCTCTCTTATTTTTTTCCAGAAAACGAATTACTACTCCTGTGGCCTTTTGCTCGCGTCTCAATTACGTGGGATATTGCGTGCTAGCGCCAGTGCGGTCCAGTGCTCACGTGATCCAGTCCGTGATTGCTAATCCTTGATTCGTATTCCGTGATCCTTATTGCGTGGTTCTTATTCCGAGTTCAGTGCGTATTACTGTTACTATTTCTACAATCATTAGAGGATTCCACTCCTGAAAGTCGACAGTTAGGTACAAAGTATTAAAGATCGGCTCTCGTAGCGCAAGTGAAAGTAAATTCATTTGGATACGAATAAGGATTCAATGTTACTTGGAGCGATTCCATTGCTGCATTGTCGGTTCAATTTCATCTTTTTTGTCGCATCAAGTGGCACGTCAGACTGTTGGCAGACTGACACATTCGGTGAAACAAACAGGTATGCTTAATAATCAAAGCCAATGATAATAATGGTTTAATAATGATGCAAAAATCAATGGTCACTCAGACATAATCCGATCAACTTCCTTTTTCGTCCAGTGCATTTCACGTGTAAACCAGAACCGTTGACTGACGAAATCCAAACTCACCATCAAGTTCATCAGTGTTATAGGCATGGTGATGGTGAAGGCAGCATAGAACGCAAATGTCAGTTCGACCGTGTAAATAGTTGCCGAGAATCCATCCAAATATGGTCTGGTGATGACTTCTGTGTGTTCGTATTCACCGAGCATCATCATCAGTGTTTGAAAAAATGCCATCCGAACATCACCGAACGCTTTGACCGGGAGTTGCATCTCAGGGAGTTTCTTATACTCATCTTCGGACCGGTTCAAATGCTCGAATCCAATAAAACAATAAGCCAAACGATTTTTCATGCTAGTCGGGTAGTTGGTGAACTCCTACGAGAAGAAGAAGGACAGTGAAAAGACACGAGAAACATTTTCTTAGATTAAAAATATTATTACGATCATAGCTTTTACTATTCCATATCCGTCCAAATAAATTTTCATATATTCTGTGCATGATCAGAAACATATGAGCGTTGCACATGTAGAATACACTCTGATCTACTTGTTATATATGGACCGAAATACATTTGGTGTCAACATAAATTGAAAGCTCCCATATGCTGTGTCATAGGGCGATCCATTTTGCTTTACGGTTGTGAGAACTTGAGTACAGTGCACACTGCCTGTGAAGTATTTTTGTCGTCGGCATTTAGGTTATCTGATGGAAGCCGGTTGCTAACATGCAACCGTGCCACCATGTGTTTGTTGGTGATACGGTTGCAAATTAGTTACCACGGGGAATTTTAGTGAGTAGTACATACCGGGCAGGAAATGTAGTGCGCGCATCTAGTAACGATTCACTACTGCGCACTCTGTTGGCTTTCCCGTTCAGTCGTGGACTATACGACTGGTGGAATGGAAACGAGGGATGAAGAATTCCACAGGAACGTCAAGTAGGGTAATCGTCGCTGACATTGTAGACAATTCCAAAAATAGTACTTGATGAATAGGTAAGACTGACAATATTAGCGGTGAATCGATAGTATCGGCTTTCTCGTTGACATTTCTTATCAGATGAGGAGACACATCTAGAATGTGTTCCATGTGTCGGCCCCAATTCGATCACCCTCTAAATCACGTTTTATCTTGCTCATACTATAAGACTGGCAGTGATCAGGGAAGTTTTCTTCAGTGAATCTCGCCGTGCAATCGTGTTTCGCCTTTGTAGATAAATCATGACTCCCGGATTGGTTCACTTATTTCATGCACAAATAATGAGCAAAAGGACAGCTACGGAAACATGTGTTGAACATTCACTCACTTGCTCTTCTGGAAGGACGAGTAATTTGTGAAACGTGATAGCAAACGCAACAAACAGACTGCAGAAAATGGGAGCCACTTTCACGATTGTCCGGCCGACTTGAATGAACATGATAACAAATATACCGATCACGCGGTACCTGGGTGGACAGGGAAGGGATGTGGTGGTGGTGGCGGTGGTGGTGCGTTTCCGATAGGGAGTAGGAAGATAGAGAGAGAGAGTAAGCGAATGATAAACAATTCCTTCAGATTGAATTCTCTCCAATGGCATGAACACAGCAATGGCAGTGAATATGGTGGAGAAGCCGTGCGGAGGGAAAACAGACAAACCTTAACATTTGAAGCAAAATGTTCATCCACGACATGAACAACACGAACACGGTCAGAGCAGCACACGCAGGGCTGGTATTCCCGATTAGACTGAGAACACAATTGACAAAGTAGAGCAGATTGAATACCAATAACCAACAGTTAATCCATCGGGTGAAGTATTGCCACTTCTGTGAATAGAGGGACGACGGGGATAGGGTACAAAAGGGTTATTTTCATGTGTACAAACCGTAAGAAATGCGAGGAATAGTTGTTATCATTCAGTATACATAGAAGATTGATACAAAGTACTCGAGCAATTTTAAAGGTGTTACAGGAATGGTTGATTAAAACTTTGAGGAGATAATTCGATGGTTTGCGTTGGAGTGAATTTATACGGGAACTAGAGACACACTATTGACGGCAGACTCGTGTGGTTGAAACCTCATTTCCACGGTGATTTCACACAAAAAGATACTAAAGTTGAGCAGAATGGTATTTAAAGTGTTTTTCGTCTGATGAACTAGACGGTGCCATAGGATATTTAAAATGAGGTGACTTCAGTGATTCTAGCATGACCGCACAATGTTGACGAGTGTGTGAAACTGGAGTCCCTGTTTCTTTCTGTTAGAAATGGTTAATCATTCGAATGAACTTACATCGATCTGCTTAGAAGTATTCGTACCTGCTTCAGAAGATAGGACTCATCCAGGGTGAGAGCAACAACAACAACAACAACGGGTGTACTATCACTTTGGGTCAATGACCAGCAGATCTATATGTGACTGAACACAACCCAAGGTCAAGTACAGGAAATCAACCACATACATGATTAACCGCGAGTTAATGGGCGATGATTTACTGAATAATCAGTCGTGGATGATTAGCGATGATGTTTTGATAGAGTATCCACCGGAAAATCGAGCTCACCTTAAAGAAAAATCCTCAAGCATTTGTGGAAATCTTCGTGATATGCAGAAATCTGCCGTTATCAAACCGTGCCATCACTATTTCCCTGGCACTATACAGGTAGCACCTAGCTGTGCATTGGCTCGGAACGGCTAATTGAAGAAAAAACATAAACTCCTTCTAACCATGCCTTTGTCTACAATATTTTTAGGGTTCCTTTTGAATTTACTCTTGGAGTCCATATAGCTTCCTGTGGGAGCCAACCACACAAAAGTGATATCCTCAGTATAAAGCTCTCCCCTTAGCGTACCCCAGGATAGCAGTCGCTACCTTTAAAGAAACACCTTGTCCCGAATCTGATAAACCCTTTTTCAAGTCCTTTCAAGTCAACACGATAATTAGGTTGTATACATATACACCCACAGAACATCTCACTGGATCGTGAACAAAAGATAAACTGCAGTTCCTTTTATGACAAAAATAATACCCTTTCATTGAGTAAGCCTATGTGCACATTGTGGGTCCTCGAGGTCTTTCGCGGAAGGTTAAGGAAACCACTGGGGATTTTTTTGAAATTCTTCATTGGGTGTGTTGTGCACGCCCAGTTTTCTGCGATAGCTATCAAAACCTACGGCAAGAGTGGCTATTCCAAATGCACTATTCGCGATTTACCACTTGAGTCCGTTTATTAGCTTCACTTCAACTTTTACAACACGGCAATTGGACCCATTAGGATTTAAGACTTCTGGTGTACCGATCCCTGAGAGAGTCAGTCCGTGCCCCTTTGGTGATATAATTCATAAATGTACAAAAGGACGAAGAAAAAGATCCAGATTCGGGATAGGGAGAATAACCATTCAGCTGATTGAAAAAATAGGTCAGCGTTGGAAAGCATTCAGGACTAAGGAACTTCAAGCGCAAAGAAATTGTAGAAATATTATATTCAGAAAGTGCTAATACCGAGCAAGAATAAGTGATAGGTGAGTGCGAATCACGATCAGTGATGTGGTTAATTGAAGCTGCAAATCCATTTCAAGAACTAAAATATTCTTATAGAATATGTGGCATTTTCGTCCGGATCGGAAAACACAAAGAATACTAGCTTCATACCGGATAAAACAACGCGGGAAAGAATCGACGATGAAAGTTTGCTAGATTTCTATTTCAAACGTGATAGGCACGATTGATATCACAGGAACCAGTCTGAAGGTAGGTAAATACAGGCCAATTGTCTCCTTACTCTGCTGGTGTTTCATGCGTTCCGTATTCGAGCGTTCCTCTCAATAGTGAACCCCTCAACGAACGGGGCAACATAGTCTAGTCCCAGAGATGTTCTTTTAGAGGAAAGGGANGGAAGTGACCGTAAACAACCGTAAAGTATTGATCACTAGCGGCGGAAAATAGTCCGTGAATGGAGTAGATACTCAAAATTTAAGTCAGGACGAATGCTCCGTTAACCAATCGATTTTCAGACGAACTATTTTTGAATCATTCTCCCAACAAACCCGACTGGTTTACTGGTTAACCTTTATCGCCGCTGCGTCAAATCACAATGTTGAAACGGTCCATCAAAATACGTTCAGTAATACAAATGTAAAAATGTTGGTGGTGGTGGTGGTAGTAAACAGTGGTGGCGGTTGCACTTCCCGATGCAGAATAACGTATTCAATTGAACGCCTGTCGAAAATCGAATGAATATGATGTCTTAGCGAACCGATTCAGTTATCCTCAGGGTTAAATGACGCTTTCTCTTGTTTCCATTTCGCCTGTTTGCGAGCTTGGAATTTGTTTACAAACGTTTCATCACCAGCCGAGGTGACATCATCAGTGCTTGTGAAGTGGCAGTGTTCTTCCTGTACCCGTTGGTTTATATGTGCGTTCTTCTCCACCGACTAGTTTCTTTCCCTGTTCTCACTGTGTTCGACTCGGTCCGCGTTGAACAGCTGCTAGCGGGTGGGGGTGGGAGGGGAAGAAGTTGTCCTTTCGTCCCGATTGCGGTGTCCGTCCGTTCTCAGGTCACGACGCGACCTTTGTTGCGTCATTTGGTCCTTCAGTTGCATTGGCGTGTACACGTGATCCAGTTTG